CGAGCTCGTCCAGCCCCATCGTGTCCACGGTGTTGTACTGTAGCAGCGTGTCCACCGCGTTGGATTGCAGCAGCACCGCAATCTGGTACCAAAAAGTCCAAGTCGTCAGCATCGATACCCAGCATAACCATAAAAGACGAGGAAGAACGATAAAGGAGGAGCAGGGAACGCACTCGTCATGAGGATGTACCGGTACCCCGTGCTTGGAGCGTCTGGTAGTAGTCGTACGTGACGAGCAGCCCGCGCGGGACGAGGAAGTCGTGCGTCGGCGGCACGGGCGGCCAGAGGTTCGTGCCGAGGACCATCATCCGTCGTGCGTCTGCGACATGCGCTCCTTGAACGAGTCAGAGAGGACATGTCTGTATGGCATGAGCGACGATCGGTAGAAGGGACGGAAAGGCAGACGCACCGGGAAACATGCGCTGCAGCGTGTTAGTGTACTCGAATCAATCCGCACGCCTCCTTGAGCTTGACCCCGCACACCCTCACATCAGTCTCGACACTCCGCGCGCATACGCCCCGCCCGCCCGCATCGGGTCTAACCCACTCCCCACACCCTCAAACCGCGTCTCACGCCCCTCACGCCCGCGCATCCAGCTCGCCCAGCAACATCATGCCGTCCTTGCTCGCGGTGAGTATGATGGGCTCCGCGGGGAAGTCGACGGCGGTTACGGTTCCCTGGGGGGGGAGGGGGGGGGCGTCAGCTCTGGGTCAGGAAGGGGAGAAGAGCGGGAGGAAGGGGCAATGGGATTTGGGCGAGAGGGGGGGAGTAGGAGGAGCGGTGGGACGGAAGGAGCAAGAGTAGAAGGAGGAGCACAATGAGCAGGAGTAGGAGGAGCACAAGGAAGTGAAAGAACGGTCAGAAAAGCGGGATGGTAGGTAGGAAGGCCGACACCGGAACACAGAAACGTAGCAACACACACCTTATGCCCCGGCAGCTTATACACCACCCGCGCGCTCTCCACATCCCACACACACACCATACGGTCCGCGCCGCCCACGCCCGCGAGATTCCCGCCGTCGTGCTTTGACCACGCCCCGCGCAGCAGCGTGCCCTCGAAACCCGCGGGCGCACCGACCAGCGTGCGGTGCACGCAAGAAAGGGCGCACGTCGTGCACGAGCGTCTGCGAGCTCAGGCTCGGGCTCAGCAGGAACTCCCCGTTCGGCGATAAGGCAAGGGACGTCGGCGTGTCGCTGTGTCCCGCCAGCGTGCTCAGCTCCATTGCATTACGCAGATCCCACACATGCACGAGGTTGTCGAGCACGGCGCAGTACACACTTGCGCCGTCCGCGGGCCCGTGACAGGCACGCCCAGTGTAAATGTGGATAGCGGGTGCTTGGAGTTGAGGGGGTCCCAGACGCGCACGGAGCCGTCGTCGGACACGGTCGCGAAGAGCTCGCCGGCCCCTGCGAGCACGCGCGCGACGCCGTTGATGTCCCCGCGGTGCGCACGCGCTGTCCCGTCGTCGTATCCAGCGCCAGCAGCATGCGGCCCGCGCTCACCGCATAAAGACTCGGCGAGACGAGCGACCACTGCAGGTCCAGGAGGGGCGCTTTCGTCAAAGAGGCCAAAAGCCCGTAGTTGGCGTTGGGGGCGTAGGTGCGCCAGAGGGAGATGCTGCGGTCGGCGGAGCAGGCGGCGAGGGGTCGAAGCGGCAGCTCAGGATCTCGCCCTGCACGAGTCAGTACTTGAATGAAAGAAAGAGGAGGGAGAGACAAACCCCATGCGCGCCTACGAGACTGACGATGGGCGCGTTGAGCCCGCTTGTGCGCTGGACGCTGCGTCCCCGTCCGACGAGATGGCAATATGTGTAGAGGATCCTGGCGGCGGCGTCGCACGCGCGCGCTTGATAAGTGTGCCAGAGGAGGAGGGCGACCTAGGCCCGCTGCGACGGCGCGCGAGGTAGTAGTATTCGTTCTCCTCATGTACTTGGCTTGTTGGTTCGCTCCGGCATGTCCGGCACCGCGTGGCTTCGTCAGAAAAGGGGCTTGTACCGAACCTAGGCGTTCGTTTCACACCGACCAACGCCACTGTTCGATGAGGCAAATGTCATGGAGCCCGCGGCTTGGCTGGAGCTGCTCGTGCCACTGGGCAACCGCGGAGAGCCTCCATTTCTGAATAATTCGCTGGCAATTCTACTGATTCAATTCCCGATTGCAGCCCAGTAACCCCACCGGTCCCCATCTACCGAGTCTAGGTTACGCATACACCAGTCCCACGTTCACCTCCGCTGCCAGCCACGTAAAACACACTCAAGCAGCTAGGCTATTTCATTCGTGACTCGATCATGATCGACTTTCATGAAGTCTCAAGAGGTTCTGGTTATTCTAGGCCTAATTACGCTGCAAGAGAATTAGCTGAACATGAACGAGGTTCAAATTACTTACACCCGCACAAACCGAACAGACAGACACCTCGCTCGCTCGCCCATCCATCCCCACACAGCTCCCCACACGTTTTTTCTTGGATCTTCCACGTTCTATCACCCATCACGACGTAATCCCACTGGACGCAGATCACAGAGATAGGTAGGTAGGTGGGATTACACGGCCGGTATCACAGATATTTCATCGTTCAACGTTGAACGCCTAGGCACCAGAGACGATCTCGCACTAAAGACGCCATCGCACCTAATCCAGGTCCTGAATACACCAAATACTCGGACGTGGTGTACGGTGCACCGCGAGCCCACCTACATAGCTCGTACCGCAGTAGCTTTCAGGTCGGGGTTCGACTCCCCGCGTCCGAATTCCTCGTCAGTCCTGTTTTTCATCCCGTGAAATTTATGCAGGGTATTTTCAAGGGAAGGACAAAGGAAAGAATCGGACGTGGTGTACGGCGCACCGCGAGCTCCGCTTCACAGATTGAAACCAAGTAGCTCGTAGGACGGGGTTCGACTCCCCGCGTCCGAATTGCAGCCACAAAATCACCCTCTTTTTTTTTCTTCCTACATGGAAAATTTCTCCAGTTTATTCAAGGGGAGAAGAGAGGAAGCAATCGGACGTGGTGTACGGCACACAGCGAGCCTTTCTACGGAATAACCAAAGAAGTACTCGCAGACCGGGGTTCGACTCCCCACGTCCGAATAGGTCAATGGTCCACACATTTTTTACCTGCTGAAAATTCCTACAGTTTATTCAAGGCGAGAAGGGAGAAAAGAATCGGACGTGGTGTGTGGCGCACAGCGAGTCATATTCACGGATGGTCGAAAACAGTAGCTCGCAGACCGGGGTTCGACTCCCCGTGTCCGATTTCAGTGTGTTCAGTTGCCTTTTTATTATTATTACCACTGGCGCGCCTGCTGAAATTTATTGTAGGTTAACGCAGGGAATAGATGAAGAAAGGAATCGGACGTGGTGTACGACGCACCGCGAGCTTATCTTCAACGATAGAAGCCAAGTAGCTCGTAGGACGGGGTTCGACTCCCCGCGTCCGAATTCCCCATACATCATCCTGTGGTTTTTTTTCTTCCTACGCTAAAAATTCTTAGTTTAATAAGGGGAAGGATAAAGGAAGGAATCGGAGGTGGTGTACGGCGCACCGCGAGCTCACCTATCCAAGGAAAAACAAAGGTAGCTCGCAGGACGGGGTTCGACTCCCCGCGTCCGATTATGTCCCGGAATGCGATTTATTTTTATTTTTCACCATGCTGAAATTTCTGCAGTTTAATAAAGGGAACGATAAAGGAACGAATCGGACGTGGTGTACGCGTGTACGGCGCACCGCGAGTACATCTCAAGAGTTTCCATTTCACTGCAGCTCACAAGCCGAGGTTCGACTCCCCGCGTCCGAATTCCCCATACATCACCCTGTGGTTTTCTTTCTTCCTATGCTAAAAATTCTTAGTTTAATAAGGGGAAGGATACAGGAAGGAATCGGACGTGGTGTACGGCGCACAGCGAGCCTACTTGGATACTCGCCAAAATCATAACTCGCAAAACGGGGTTCGACTCCCTGCGTTCGACTGAGGGAAAGCTTGAGTTTCCTCACTCCTTTTTATTTATTTTTCAACGCGCGTGTTGAATACTTACAATTCATTTTATCCTGGATACATTCAGAGGGAAATACTCGGACGCGGTGTACGGAACACCGCGAGCCCACCTTGCTCCCTTTCTAACGAAGTAAGTAGCTCGCAGCGCTGTCCCTGCGTCTGAATAGGTCATGCTCATCCTTTTTTTTTATTACCACACCTGCTGATATTTTCTCCAGTTTATTCAAGGTGAGAAGAGAGTAAAACAATCGGACGTGGTGTACGGCGAGCACAACTGGGCGGTAGAACAAGTGTAGCTCGCAGGCCGGGGTTCGACTCCCCGCATCCGAATGGTGGTTTTGAGCTTCCATTTCTTTTTCTTCCTCCATTGAAATTTCCGTAGGTTAATAACGAGAAGAGAGGAGGAAGGAATCGGACGTGGTGTATGGCGCACGGCGAGCACATCTGGCTGGAGAGCAAGCGTAGCTCGCAAGCCGGGGTTCGACTCCCCGCGTCCGAATTACAATTAGCCTGTTTGCGATGCAGCCATTGGAGCCACCATGTGGCTGATTTGCGTTGCGATAGTTGATGGCTGATGGCTCGGTGAACTTTCTTTGTCTTTATGTCTGAGCCACTCAGAATGAAGATTGAGCTATTAGAAACACCTCTTGCATTCAATATGCTTCTCGCCGATCTTCCAGAGGCCTTAGACCAGTAATGGATTTCCCAAGAAGGCCGGTTCTGGTCAGGTACTTAGATTTTGCCTGCACATGGCTTCGATGTGAGGCAGCATGGGACTTGGAACATGTCTTTATTGTGTAGACAGAATATTCAAATATAGTGCAGTGTGTAGTGAGTAGAAGACAAAATGTTATCGTTGTGGAGCCATCAACTTTCGCAACGCAAATCAGCCACGTGGTGGCTCCAATGGCTGCATCGCAAACACTCTATTATCTTGTCCTCCCCGTTTTCTCACACTTGTTTTTTTTTTCATCACAATTAATTCAAGGTATGGATAAAGCAAATACTCGGACGTGGTGTACGGAACACCGCGAGCTCATGTTGCAGTTTTTCGCTTGCTTGCAGCTCGCAATCCGGGGTTCGACTCCCCGCGTCTGAATAATAGGTCTTTCCCCATCTCTTTTGCTCAGCACACCTGCTGATTTTTTCCTTATCATCCGTCTGAGTCCGCCCTGCCCTTCAAACAATGTTCAACAGCCGAGTCCTACTCCCCAACTTCCAGTGTTGGTGTTGTCTTTCCCCAACAATTATAGATGATTTTATCAAGTCAATATAGTCAGGCAAAAAAGAATGTATTCCATCGGATGTGGTGTTACGTGTACGGCGCACCGCGAGCTCAACTTCGGAATGGGAAATGAGTAGTTCGCGGGACGGGGTTCGACTCCCCGCGTCCGAATGTGAAGATGACTCTTGGCTTCTCAATTTTGTTTTGTCTTCCTATGCTGAAATTTGCCTAAAGGGGAATTGAACATCAATAGGCATTCGCGTCGTCAATGGGCATCACTCAATGCCTATGCTACTAAAGTTGTATGTACTCCAGGCGACAGGAGCCTCAGCTGTGGACGCGAGAACATCCGAAGTCGATTGTGCGCCCGCAACAAACCCAAACTCGGTCTGTAGGTTCGCCACCTTGTGTTCGAAGCGCCCTACACGCGCGTCGATCTTACCAAAAAGGTCCGCGATCCTGGCGAAGTTGACTGAGTTGCGGGCGGCGCGCAGGGTAGGAGTCTCTTTGGGCCCAGATGGCAGCAGATGGCGTGTCAGCGAAGCCGTAGTGTTTGAAAGTCGACACCTTGAGCGTAGCAGACGGGGGTTTCCCGATGTCAGTATCGGCTTCTGGCAGGGAGGAGATGGACTGTGTCGTACTTGTGCGAGTAATGAGGCGATTTGTTGACGGGGGACCGGTGTCGTTTGCGGTGTCCTTCCTGAGCGCCTTGCTAAGCGGTGTCGCGATGTCGACAGGCGCGGGACCAGCCGCGGCTTTTTTAGCCTCCGTATTGACAGCACCCCCGCGACCCGTGACTGTCAAAGTGATTGAAATAGTACAGTACGGCAACTACCAACGACTATGTAATTAACCAGGGAACTACGGCCAAAGGATTATTTCTGATGCACGGTGAACATATCGGAGTGCGGATATCAGTCCTCAGTGAAATCACGGGGTTCCAGCGCGAAATTGAGCCTGACTTGGTTAGCAGCGTCTGTTTGGAAGATCTACATGCGGTATTGTCAGCTGGGTGAGGATCGAATTTATTAGAACGCACATAGAATTCGACGCCGATGATGTGGATGAGAATAGCGATCCACAGGGCCATTCCTACATTGAATATGATTTTTTTACAGTTCATGATTATATAATGAAGTAACAAACCTTGGGCTGCTCGGGCGGCAGACGCGACGTAGAGAGGGGGGTCGTGCGTGGATGCATGCACGGCGACGTAGATATTAGCTGGGTTGATGCCCGCTGCGGCGCATTGGGGAAACGAGCCCTGGATGGTTTCCGGGGCGCGAAGAAGATTTATCACCTCGTCGCATCTCCATATCTGGATTCATTCAGTCTGTGCTTGCGTTGGCAGGTAATCTAGAGATACCGTGTAATAAGTTCCTATGATGGTCATTATCGCGCGCGCGGGGAGCGCAATCAGGCGCGCAGTGAGGACACTCGCAAAGTATACCACCATGCCTGCAATGGGGGTTAATGATCCAACGGAGCAGGATAAATCAACGTACGAAGCATCCACTTTCTGTGGCGCCGAGTGTCTTTTTTGACATTGTAGATACCCATGAGCGCAGCGTAGGTGATCATTATGGCTTGGATGTAATATCCGCTTTGTGAATTGACATCACCGCCGAAAGCCCGCCGGGCGACAATTGAGCCACATGTGACGGCTACGATAAGGCAAAACAGGACGGCGTATCCTGTAGGAGACAGTGAATTAGTGATTTGAGGGTAGAGTTTGATTACCGTTTATGCGATGGAAGATTACTTTCCGCTGAGCATGGTGAGGCTCGAAAATAGATCCAAAGACTGGAACTGACCCTGCGAATAACCGGGAGAAACTGGAACAAAGCACCGATACCGCCAACTGCAGAAAGTTCTTTAGCCTGGGCAAAAGAAAAGCTTTGGAACGTACACGTTGCAAAGTAAATGTGGATGAAGAGATTTGGCTTGTATATTGACTGGCTCAACCAAAACCATTCACCTGAGACGAAGTCATTAGCTGGAAGGAAATATCTTGAGAGAAAAAAAAGGATTATTACCGGGAATCAAGAGATGCGGGGTGCGCCCTGGATTCAGTGTCATCGTTCTTGCAAGACAGATCCCGACTAGGGCTCCACCCCAGACAAAGCCTCCGAAGGTGTTAGTCGTGAACTACCCATGTGTCTAGAGCAGAGCTCACAGTTAAGAAGACTGTACTTGTCCCTAAATCCGAGAATCCAGCTTATGGAGCGGTAAAACGTCAGGACACGCGGCTGGTGTCTTTCGGAGTGCTTATCAAGCCCAGGAGTCTCTGATGCGGCTGAAGCTTTGTCGCTGTCTTCCTCGACCATGTAGGGAAGATACGAGGCTTCGGTAGAAAGAGCGATGGTTATGCCGGTGCTCGGAGGATGGGAGGACATTGCGAGATGTCGATGGGCGAGAGAAAGAAAGCCGACATACTCCAGCCGTCAAAGGCAATTTTGGGGTGTTTGGAGTGTCTATTTGCAGCAATGACAATGACTTTCATTGACATTGAAGCTGTCATTATTGTCGTCGATTTAATGCGATTTCAATCTGTTTGTTGATGAATTCGAATGATGGAGTTGATTCCAGTTGCACACTGCGTGCTACAGTCGGCGGTACGGTCGTGGTTCTTTGATTTTTGATTTCGGACTTAGGTCCAACTGCCGTGGCCGTGCAAACGCGAACATGTGATCGGAGCGAGGGCGGTTTAATGCAGTGCGTACACTCAATTTCCCGTGCCATTTGAGGTCGTAGTGCATTAGCGAGGGGGCGTCGGAGAGACTCTTAGTAGCTTGCAATGAGTTTGATACCAAAATCTGCCATTTACCTGGCTTGTTTGATACGAAGGTCGGAAATTAAAGGTGTTAAAATACCGGGTAAAAATGAAAGTCTGGTAATTTCCCTCTTTGCGGACGATACAACAATTTATCTAACATCCAAAGACTCATTAGAAGAACTCTGGGAAATTTTGAGGCTATGGTGTGCAGCTTCGACTGCAAAATTCAATGAACACAAGACAGTGCTCTTACCTTTGGGCCGGGCCTCCTATCGGACGAAGGTCATACATGAGAGGCGAATTAACAATGAAATACACATTGGGGTCATTGACGAGAGCATGAGGATGATCCCTGATGGCCAAACTTGCCGCATGCTAGGGGCTTGGATCAGAAATAAGGTGCCATATACTATACCCTGACCTTCAGTGCTTGAAAGAATTACAGCAGATCTGGAGAGATGGAAGGCATCGGCACCAACTCTGGAAGGGAAACACCATATCATAATCATAAACATGGTAATTGGTGGCAGGACACAATATTTAACCAGGGTACAAGGTATGCCCAAAGAGATTGAGGAGACATTAATCAAGGAAGAGAATGTCTTCCTCTGGGACGGAAAAAAGGCGAGAATTGCCTATGAAACTATGTTGCGGGACAAGGTGAGCTACCTGAATATCAGGCCAGGCCAGATTTTGAATGTTTTCTTACAAGACATACATGTCCCCATATCCTCGAGAACTCCGTTGCCGGAGGACCTGAAGCGAATGGTGCTGGCAGCCCATAAATACCGCTTGCAATTCACGGGTCTGTCAATTAGCGAAGAAATGAAATTAACAATGCCCATTTGGAGACATCCCGCCACTGATAAGTAAAGCTATAACAAGGTGACTCGCCAAGACTCTACATGTCTGAGATTTTTGCTCTGCCTCCGATTTTTTACTCCGAGCACTGGTTAAGGATCGATCGAGGTTTGAGAATGACTTGCTAGATCCAAAGTTTCGTCTAGTGAAAGCGGTGCTTACAGCTTTGAAAGAGAGAGTAGCGAAAGGTAAGTTCAAGGTGGATAACCCCACTAGATTTGCAACAAATGTTAACGCACGGGCCATTGAAGTGGACACAGAAATTGATATTATGTTTGAGTGCCCAGGCGTGCCTTTTTCACAGAGCTCACAAAGATATTTTCACGGATGCTACAACCCGACCTCACCGGAAAGCTACATTTATACATTTGAATCGCATCCGCTGTTCAGTCTAAGAGATTTCGGACTACACTCCCACCGATAAAACCATTTGGAAATCAATTCGGGCGGTAAACCTGCAACGCTTGACTCGGGAATTTCTATGGGAGTGCATACATAACATATTTCGGGTCGGTGATTTCTGGACCCACCTCGACACGTTAGAGATAAGGGGGAGATGTCATACCTATGATGTCCCCGAAGTAGCTCGCAAGACGGGGTTCGACTCCCCACATCCTCATATTTATTTCCCCCGCTGCTCTTTTTCTCACCGCACTGTGACTGCTGAAATTTCTTCACTTTAATAAGGGCTTGAACAAAGGAGGAATCGGACGTGGTGCACGGGACACTGCGAGCACCCTTAAGTTGGACAAAGGCTGTGAGTCGCAGACCGAGGTTCGACTCCCCGCGTCAGATTTCCTCTTCTGCGAATGTTTTTTCACCCAACTGAAAATTTCTCCAGTTTAACAAGCTCGTGGATATGGAGGAAATCAGACGTGGTTTACAACAAACAAAACGAGGCATGCGTTGATACCTTGTTGAAGTGTCTGTCTAAAATTTCTCCATGTTCATCCAAAGAATAAATAATGGAAGAAAGCAAGTGTGGTGTACGGCCCACAGCGAGCCCATTGTGGAGGAAAAGAAAGGAGGTCGCTCGCCAGCCCGTGGGCCGTGTCTGACTAGATCTTATCTTCCATTTTTTTCGTCCTACACTAAAATTTATGCTCCAGGAAAGGAGATTGGAAGTGTAACTGCGTACCTGGAGCTCATTTGGCAAGTTTGTGCCGATGCTTTGACCGGTCTCTGTTTGTCCTTGTGTCTCATCGGCCCGATTCCGCCCAATGATCCGTGTCACCCC